CTTTGAAGAGAAAGGTCATTTAAAAAAAAACATATTCATTGAAATATTTGATCTTTTCATCATTTCCTAAGATACAAATTACTGGATAATGGCCACCAATACCATAAGCTGGAATAATTCTATAACCGTAGGAATTTATGTCTGATCTATTATAATTTGACTATTCTGAGTACACCTTGTTGGAGAATTAACAAGTTGGTGTAAATTGTTCATCGTTAAAATTTCAGACCATTGTTTAGCAATGTTCAGTTTAAAATCCATATTAATATCACATATTATATATAATGGTACATTTTTACTATTAACAATATTCAACTGCCTTTCAAAAATATTATAACACTTAGGGTGACACTCCATCCTTGGAGAGAGAGAGAGAAATAACATCAACTCCACACAAACTAGGTCATTTGAACTGCAGGACCTTGATTTATCAATTCTTGTTTTGGTACATCGTCATTATTCTTATAGGTATGGGAATTCCTGTGCCGTCACAATGGCGACTGTCACTTACTCATTCTCAATCCGAGGAATGGCGTTTAAGCTTCATAATATCACTGAAAACCCTAGTGTTATTACCTCAGATATTTTTCACAAACCAGCGGAAGAAATATGTGACAGGTTGTCATATCTTATTCCTTATCCCACAATTAGTAACGGGAAATCTTTAACCATAGAGTTGATGGTTCCTCAGATTAGAGACCCATCTTACCGCACCAATATACTAGATATATATGGCAACTCCAAAACTTAGTGAAGATAACTAGGTATTTTTATCACGTCATGATCATAAAACCCGACAGAACAATTGCCAAATAGTAGTTCCAAATTATGCTATTTAATACTAAAAAGGCTTAGTGCATCTTACACATTTTGATTACCCAGTCCGGTAATCCAAATAATCCCCACTTGTTTATATCATTTTAAATGACACAGTCAAATGGGTTTAGAGCCTTAGAGTATATGCAAATAAGCATTTTATAACGGCAGCTCTTTAGCCGTTCCCCATTAAACGGAAGCGGCTGCTCCGGTGATACAGAACTGCGCCAATTCATCCGAGATCTATTTTGTGCTCCGGTCCCCGACGACTATATAAAGGGAACATCCGCACAATCTTACTTAAGTCTAATGGTTTGAACTGAATGAAACTAGTCATGAGATAAATCTGGGACGGCTACTCGCCACTCATAGATTTCTAATTTAACATAAAATGTATCCGAAAACCATCAACATATTCCAACAAATTATAAATGGTCACTCCCAAGCATTTTCCGTGATAAAGTACCCCTACCACACGGAATGTACAAACTGTAAATCGGACCATTCCCAACGATAACTGACTAACCGTGCTCACAGTAACTTTTTATATCGAGAACGAACATATCTCTTGATGACTGTAATGATTCTGATCGTGAACCCTTTACAGACGAATCCAATTCTGCTTACTGTCTATTGAATTACCTTATACAGAACATTTCAGACATGCCACATGACACAATAATACAAATCACAGTTTACTAAGATGTTTATTTCTGGCGAAGTGTCGATGCAGATTCTCTCGTCGCTATATTAGTGAATGAAAAACAGTTCAAATTATCTGAAGTTCAGCTTCACCAGCTCGACTCCACATTACCCCGGATACATTTACATAACATTCTGAAGCCCTATAGACTGGAGAAAAACTGCTGAAAAGTAAGTGGAGAGGTTGATGGAAGAATTCTGTATATAATCGTATTACGTCACGCAAAAACAACTATATAAGGACCAAACATTTGTGTTCTAATCATTAAATGTATCTGATGAAGGTCGATTAAGGACCAAAAGGTTATCATTAAATCCTATTTTAATCAACATTAGTCTCTATTCTTCTTGGGTTCGGGGATCCTTTACTTACTTTTTCACATATAACATTCTTCACAACAGATTTAATGACTAGACAGCTGTCCTTGTCAGGCCCTCCGTCCTGCATCACTGACAAAGGGGAACCACGCCGGAAAATCTGGATGAACTTTCTCAGCCAATGCACGGATCGAACACCCGACCTCCAGGCCAAAGTGAAACAAGGGCTATAACTCACGGCGTAATTAAAGGAAATTGCTGAAATTCAATAGGCTTCTTCATTTCACTAATTCAAATGACGCATATGAATTTCAAACAGATCGGATGATAACTGTTGTCATTAGAGCGTTCACAAAATTCAACAAAGTGAAACAAGGGCCATAACTCTAGATGTAATTAATGGAAATTGCTGAAATTCAATAGGATTTTTTGTTTTACTAATTTAAATGATGCATATAAATTTCATACAGATCGGTTGATAACTTTTGTCGTTAGAGCGTTCACAAGGTGCAACAAAGTGAAACAAGGGCCATAACTCCAGCAGAAATTACCGGAAGTTATTGAAGTTAAATGGGCTTCTTCATTTGACTAATGCAAACAACATATATCAATTTTAAAACAATCAGATGATAAATATAGTCTGTAGAAATTTTGAACCAGCGGCTGCCAGACAGGATACGCCCACATTTTGCAAGAGATGGATAGAGAACAAGCTAAAAACAAACATGATTTTTTGCACAATCAGGAGCCATAATCCAGAAAGTTATGGTCTGAAATTCACAAATATCAAAAGGGACTGAGATTTTAGGAATATAATAAAAAGATCTGTTAATCAAAATCGGATAAAAATTGTGACCTCTAGAGAGTTCATAACCTTCGTATTACATACTTATACACAATTTGCGTACAAAGAGCGGCCATTTTGTCGGGCAGTTTTATTTCGATTTTCCAAAAATTTGAATTCAATCTTCATTATGGTGGAATAGTGATATATCTAAACGTTTTTTAAAATCGGAAATAAATTGTGACCTCTAGAGGGACCACAATCTAAAAACGCGATTTTTTATACAAATAATTCAGGAAGGTACGATCCTTTATGCGCGAATATCGAAAGGAACCAAGATCTTTGGGTTATAAACATGCATTCCATGCTTCATCAAAATCGGATCAAAATTGTGACCTCTAGAGTGTCCACAATCTAAAAACATGATCCATGAAGTTATGGTCCGATACATGCCAATATCAAAAGGAACCGAGCTCTTTCAAGTTTTGTCAAAATCGGATAAAATTGTGACCTGTAGAGTGTCCACAAACAAATTGAGGACAGACGGATGTCCGAACGGAGGGACAGGGATGACGACAATATATGTCCATATGAAAATGGGGGGTATAAAAATACGGTAATAATAAAACCTTGTGTTTGTCGACCTAGATTCAATTTGTTTTTATTGGCTAACAAATAAAATTTGGTGTTAAATATTTCCTCAAAATAACAATAAATTAAAGTTATAATAATTAGAATGAGAGCCGTTATATAATGATAAATATTGAATAAATTGTGTTTGTGACAATTGGGTATCCGTATCGATAGTCTTACATACCGCCATTTATTTTATTGACTTACCACGTCACTAATCTCAAACGAAATGTTGTAAATGTTGTGTTAAATATTTCCCCAAAATAACAATAAATTAAAGTTATAATAATTAGAATGAGAGCCATTATATAATGATAAATATTGAATAAATTGTGTTAGTGACAATTGGGTATCCGTATCGATAGTCTTACATACCGCCATTTATTTTATTGACTTACCACGTCACTAATCTCAAACGAAATGTTGTAAATCGCCAACGCAAAATGTAGAATTTGAGCCATTATTTAACTTATTTTTTGTTAGAATTAATTCTTTTGTCATTTTGGTATTACAATAGTCAGAAATCGTATTATTATTATTCGTTCCTACATACAATGGGAAATAGCTCTGGAAGACCTGTGTGGATATTTTCCAATTTTATTTTCATTCATTTGCACATTAAATACTTTAAATTAGGCATGAATAACAGAGAATTTATTAATTCAGAACATTGAAATACTTGTCAATTTTTCACAATTTTTTAATTGTTGAAAAATATTTGGTGTTAAACGTAAAGGCGTGCGGTAGCTGGGGGGAAATTTCCCTTTGATAAAAAAGTTCTATAAAAAGTGTGCGAATTATGTCACGTGTGACAACAATATATTCAAACATAAAATGTGGGCGTATAATCAAAGTAGGCAGCTGAACAGGAAGCATATAACTAGCATGCACAATATTTTGTTAAATAAATACAATGTGATAATTTATATATCTTGTCAACACTCAGAATAAAATTATATAAAAATGAAGCCATGGTTCCTCACTGGGTAAGCCACTGGCTCACTAATCAGCAGGCTCTCGTGTTGGTCAAGAAAGTTCCTTAAGATTAGAGTGACCATAAAACCTCTCAGACAACTAAATTGTCTTACACAATATCAGTTTTATAAGCTCCACCTCCACCAAATTCTTCATTTCCCAGTCCTATAAATCGGTCGGGCGTTGATTTCTTTAAACAAATTCCAACACTGGATTTCTTTATTTACCTTCTGGAACCTTAATCAGAAATTAAGCCAGAAATGTTATGAAATAAATTTTAAACACTCAATTTTCTTACTTAAAATGACATGACAAATAGGAAAATGCCAATTACCTGTCTATAACCATTCGTTATGAAGCAACAATTATGCAACAGAGATAGCTTTTATTTAACATTTAGAGTTAGTTCTATCCCTTCTTAATCCCAACCCCAAGGAGAGAAAAAAGATTTTCTGCCCCTAAATTTTTGAGTCATTCCAACTGATGAACAAAGCAACATGTTCCCTGTCCATCCTCGCAAAAGCTACCCTTGACAAGTAAAGACAATACATTACATGATTACACAAGAAGTTGATGACAATTCACCAGATGGCTGAGAAAAAAAACAGTATTTATGATCGACAAGATATATGGTACCAGTATTTGGTATTACAAATCTGTAAACTACAGCTGTGTTAAAGATGATCCCAGCTATAACTAGAGATCAATATATATATGCTGGCAAGAGAGAAGATACTGGTATATACACTTCCCTACAGTTCAGTTGAGATCAGTTAGTTGTGCCGGTAACACTAGACTTTAAAGATAAGACAAACATTACATGAACAAATGTAATTTGGACTCTGGAATAATATTAAGCTCATCTTTCATCAGTTGTAAGTATTTTTTTTCTCTTTTTAAACATTGTTACCATTATTCACTAATATGAATAACATAAAAATTGTTATTCTAAAACTTTTGAAAAAGTTTGCAACTTTTCTGTGAAGACTTTGAATACAAAGTGATTTCGGGTGGTCAAGACAAATTCTCTTCTGTAAGACATTTGTTACTGATCAGCTTGAAAGGAATACCAATCACAAGGTGGTCCTTAAATATTTTAGAAATCAAAAACATTTAATATTTTACTTGAAATACTGTTATTACAATCTTACAAGGCAAATCTGAGCAAAAGAATTGTATAAAGAATTGCTTCGAAAAGATTCAAGAATCATCATTAATTTACGAAATTAACAAAAACATGTGATGATTGGGAAATCTCTTAAAACTAATCCAAATGTTATACTGGAAATGACAAATTTGTACAATGTTTTTTATTACCAAAGGGTGAGGGGCCAATAACAAGGACTCAATTCTGTTTCACTCAATTCTGTTACAAACTGAAAATCAATTAGTCGTCAAGATATTGCATTTTTTGGAAGCTACCTGGATACAAAGAGTATCTTCCTAGAAACACTTATAAATTAATGAATTACTTAAAAATATTGAAAACCACAAAAACACCCTCAAAAGTCAACTTGCAAAGTATTCCTTAAAATCTATTAAAACTATTCTTTTCTTTTGGTTTCTATATTATGATGATACCGAAACAAAATAGAATTTATTAACACAATGCTGAATGGATTTAATTACAAGTACTGGTATAAACCCTTGTAAATGTCTTGATTTCAGAGGGTTTTATGATTTGTATTCAGGGCTCGAAATTCGTTTTTTCGATCAAAGGCCAACTTTGGCCTATGATAGGCCAATGTGCAACCATGATCCAAGGCCAAAAATTGAAAATCCAAGGCCAATTTTTAAGTCATGAATTATGATATTATCAGCTTATTTAGAAGGTTTTAATATGTCATATGTGAATCTGTTTATTGTAGATCTTTTTTCTCAGTCAAAATGTTGTTACAGGCCTGACTATCACATCACGTTCAATATTTTTATTACTTTTACAAAAATAATGCATCCTTACAGTTAAGAGGGGGGGGGGGGGTCTGTCAAAGACCACTCGTGTCATACCTGTTCTCTTTATATGATGACAACACCTTTGCCCACACATGAATAACATTTTCACAAATGTTAGTTTTGACCTCATCAACATGACCAGACACATAAAAGTTGTAACCAGAGGTCACAGTCACACAAACATCTGTGTATTTCACACATTTTTTTCAAAATAAACGCAAATATTGACGAATGCTGCGTAATTTACACACAGAAAATTTCCCCGAATAATTAGATTATTCTATGTCGTAGTTTGTACAAATTATGTGCTTCACCCGGCATTTACACACCTCTACTGTACGTAGTCTCTGTAGTTTTTTATATTTCCTCTTATTTCATTCATAAGTTCATGGCAGTAAGCAATAAAGCGCATTTCATACAAGACTTGGGATTGGCTAGAATAAGATATTCTGTTTACATTCAGCCAATCAAATGTTGGCTTTCATAGCGATAGTTTTCTCTTTACGTCCTGTCGAAGTGAAAGATTGAAATGACTGTGCCGTCAACCATAGACATGCCGTTAACCTCCAGTCATCATTAGACTAAATACAGTAGGCATATCAATGAAATAAGGACGCTTAAAATAGGGTTGTTCAGAAAACGACTTTACATGCTTCTATATTGTGTATTTTGAGAGGCTCTTCACGCAGATGTAGAGGGCAAAAACGCAAAAATTTTGGAATCTCTGCGTATTTTTACGCAACTCGAAATTGATCCACTGCGACCTCTGGTTGTAATCCTTCCTCAGGGGTTTCTGGACAATTGGTAGGTTGACCATTTCTTCTTCGCAAACAACTCTAATTTTTCTATGTACCAAATATTCAACAACACACCTGTGGTTAAAATTATATGGAATACAACTCAAATCATCCGACCCTTTGTTGGCGTGTGGCAATGGGACATCTACAATTTCAGTTAGGTAAGATTTTACTGCCTCTCCGTCTGGATCACACACATAACATGACATCCCACTGTAGGTCAAGCCTTTTATTCTGAAAGTAATATAAAATCTAAAAGAAACATATAATATTCAATACTAGACAATAATGTATGCTATAGCCTACATTATAGTAATAATATTATAGTATTAAATACTATAGTAATAATACATATGTACAGCATAATACAGTAGGGCTAAGTCCATATCACTGAATGAAGGGGGGGGGGGGAACTGGCATCTTATAAAACCTGGTACTTACTGTATTGATAGTAATTGCATAAAAAAATGTGCATTCATATCATAATTATAATGTTATTGAATATAGCATTAGATCTATTATATAGTGCGATATAAAGATATCAGCCAGCACTAGACTTACCTTCTGACTAAACTAGATTTGGACTCCGATTATCGAGCTGTAAATCCTCTACATGCTACCCATCTTCTCAAATCAACAATTTCATTATCATCAACCACAGAACAAGGTAAAATTGCTCCTTTAACATCACATTCGTGTAAAACTACTCTAACACCAGCCATATTGTTAAAAAAAAACCAACCTGACGCCGGATCGAGCACACAATGCATTGCAATAAACAATTGATGAAGTAGTTATGCTTGGGGGGCTATTAACTGCTTACTCTGTTCCAATCGAATTTGAATATTTGTTGACATTTCTCAGCTTGTTTATTTCTTTTTTTAGAAACATAAACCCTATTCAAGATATTATAAGAACCTGTGAATATGCATTTTCCATGTCATTATTGTCACTTTTACATCTGTCGTAATTTCACTCGTCTCGCAAGATTTCTACTTTAGTTTTCGGTTATTGTATTATAATCACGTGTTTGTGTGTGACAGGTTAATGGATATAATAGGATATGTGACATATATGACTAGTTCCTACATGTTGTCAACTGACGTCAAGGAGATTAAAATATCCAACAATGGAGAAACCCCAAGTTAATCACGTAAATTGCTTATAATCACGCTTATTGGATTGATACATAGTCCGAAGGAGAAGCAATGACTTCTGTTCAGGATTGGATTGATGAATTGTGCGACAAAGGATTAAGTCAGTCAATCAAGGCAGATTAAGTAGTTAATCAAGATAGGTGTATAGACGGTATCACGTGGCAAATACGTTGATCTCTTAATTACTTAATCAATCCAGCCTATTATCAACGATAATTGGGTTGATATTCACTCAGTACACTATATTAATTTTGGAATTTTGAATATTATTCACCATGTCTTGATGTCTGATTGGGAATATTCCTGGTCGGTCAATTTAGAACTTTTGCAAAATTGCGTCAGACATGTCCAGAATATACAGGCGAAATCCCATCACTGGTTGCTCATGAGAATCTCAGATGAAATAGATTGTAAACTGTTGTCAAATATCTGATTTCATGACTTTAAAAGTTTTGTATGTCCAAAACAGGGAAAATACAGTTAATGATTTTGTGAAATATATACAAAGTGTTCCTATTTTTCTTATGTGTATTGGCAAATAACTGCAAGTAATCTGCGAATTTGATTCTCAAACATGACAAGAATGTATTAGGAAACAGCAATTTTATAAAAAGAAACACACACAAATTTAAACGGATGTATTCCACAAGTTGGAGTTTTAACATTTTTGAAAATATGCACTAAAGTTATTAGCAAGAATATGGTTAAAAGAAAGTCATGAAAAATGAACATCTCTGAAAATCATCAGTTTCCATTATTTTATGCAAGGCTGCAGATCCATGCCAAATATTTAGTTTTTATAATATTTCATAACATCTCTATGATCACTAAAAACAAAACTGAAAACAAAAATGTTCATTTCGCCTTCATTTTGTTTGCTTGCTTAATATTTCCTGTCAAAATCTGATTATTACTACATCAGTAAAACTAAAATGTAGTAAATGTATCAATTGGACTTAATGTTAAAGCATTTAAAAATGACATGCCCACATTTAAAATTTCTGAATCACTTTCAAAGAAAATGATATTCTAAAATTTTTACTTGAAAAGTCTGCCGTTTACAAACTCAACTTGTACCTTTACACAAAAATAGAAAATGTTTTTTTTGCAAGAACTTCAGCAACTTAAATTTGGGCCCAAATAATATTAAAAAATTTAGACTGTATTCAAATTTTTTTATTCTCTCAAAATTGATTGAAAGAGCAGTAGATCATTTCAGATCACAATAAAGATATCAGGTCTAAATGAAATTCTTCAATCAAGCTTTATGAAGAGACATAGTTCAGAGACTTCATTATTAATATTATTAGGAACAAAGTTGACAAAGATTGTGTTTTCCTTGTGCTTCAACCTCTGCATGTTTTATTAATGGAATTGGGGTTAACATCTTGACAAAAAAATAATTTGGTCATATTGCGACTAACATATATTTTTTCTAGGATCACATGTGCAATATGAGAAAACTATATTTTAATTTGTTTTTAAGTATTACCAGGTTATAATCTCTTAAGTTTTGTAAAATACAAATTGGCTTACTGTTCTAGCTAATTTTATTCAAAATATTATTATTTACACCATGGAAATGGCAGAGATGTTTACTGTATTGCACGCAGGAAGTTTATATGAGGATAATCAATTTAAAATATACAACATACAATTTAATATGGCATGGTAACTCACTTATTTTCAATGAAAATGAGCAATTACTTTGCCATGTATTTTCGATGTAAATGAGTATTAACTTATTATCCGGCTGATTTCACTGGTGTTAAACAAAATTTAGAAATTATATCACATCCTAGTGTAATAAGACATGATTTTTAAAATAGCTTAGGAATCAATAAGGAAAAAGCAAACAAGACTTTTTCTTTTTCTTTAAAAAACAATATTTTTAATCCAGGATATCTGAATGGGATTGGGGAACAGTCTTAGCCAATGTAAAACCCCTCTCAATTTACATGGTGCAAT